GGCCCATTATGCTATAATTATAACAAGGAGCCCCCCAAATGGTATAGGTAATTCTTTCGGCCCCTCTATTAGTGGTCTTGGCTGCAGGGAGGCTGGTCGGACTCAGGCTTCAGAGCTTGAGGCTCAGCATGCCACGGTCTCGCCTGCACGGCGGAATTCGGGCCGCCGCGGGCTCCATGGCAAGAAACTTACAAACTCTAACCCTAAACCCTAAACCCTAAACCCTAAACCCTAAACCGTGCCTGTTGGCTTAGGGTTCACGGTGTGGGGCTTGGGACCTGCGTCTGGAAAGTCGGGCATGGGACTGAGGACTCGGGTTTAGATAGTGGAATTAGGACCTCCCTGACTCCTCAACTCATGAGAGCGGACGGCGATGAGGCTGCCAGGGAAACCCAGGCAATCCGACGGCGTCAACACCCCTCAAAAAAAGGCTGCCCTAAGCCCTAGGCTCCACGTCTGAAGCCTGGATCAGATAGCTTCCTCGAATGCCCGTGCCTGAACAAAGAACGCCGGGCCTGAAACTCTTTCAGAACCTAAATGATATTACTACACCCCATAAAAGCCCCTTTTGATTCTAGACAGTAAACCCTGAACCCAAACCCTGAACCCCAACACCATGAAGCCTCAACACTGAAAGCTCCAATCCTACACTTAGGACCCTCAGCTCTCAACCCCTAGTTAACTAAGATTCCTGAAGCACCAGACTTTAAATCGGGCATCAGGGCCCAGAGCAAGTTCTTTCAGACTTAAGGGTTCGGGCTCCCCTAAGGAGTGAAAGACTTTCGGGCTCTTCTTGCGGCTTCACTCTCCATCTCCTTAAGTTCTCAAAAGGCATGTCTTTCACAGGTTGATGCTTCAGGTCTTGGGGGGGTGGGGGCGTTCAGGTTCTGTGTCGCCTTCGTTCGGCCCGAGACTGTTGATCTTGCGTCTCATACCATAGCCTTGGACATGACTTCTGAACTCCTACCGAAACTTTGACTTCGTAGCTCGGCAAACCTAGGTTACGCAAACCCTGAGAGCAATTTCTTCTGCCGCGTGCTTCGACGCTGGGGCGGGTCTGACGAACGGGTTCAGCCGCAAGCTACGGTGAGACTTCGAGTGCTTAGGGTTTAGGGGCTTAGGGTTTCGTGGGTTTTGGGGGGTTTAGGTACGCAGCCTCAAGATCCCTCATGCGCTTCGCGCAACGGGCTTGAAGCACGCAGTGCATCGAAGGTACGGTGGAGGGCTTGGAGGTTCCAGAAAGGGGGGCAACGGGGCACCAGTCACGTCCAGATGCACACCCTAAACCCTAAACCCTAAACCCTAAACCTTAAACCCTAAACCTTGAAAAAGAAAGAGTTACGTCCACCCGGCACCACCGGGAGCTGCGAAGCTCCTCTCGTGGTCTTTTCATCCTGGAGATTCGGGTAGAATCGTAACATCCTCTTAGGGGCTGAGTACCCTAGCCCAAAAAAGGATAACCTTCTGAGTTATAGTAGGATTAGAAGAGCCCTAAAAGGTTAAAGGTTACCTACTCACCCACTAAGTCCTAAAAAGGCTGAACCCTGAACTGAACCACCAAGCAAGCCTCGCTAATTTGCGTCTGCAGCTGCCCGCTAGGGCCTCCGAGTGGACGTGTCTCCACGAAGGAGAAACTGGCACCAGTCCAGAGTCTCTTCCGAAGGGGGTTTAGGGTTTAGGGCTTAGGGTTTAGGGTTTAGGGTTTAGGGTTTAGGGTTTAGGGTTTAGGGTTTAGGGTTTGGGAAGTCTTTGGGATTTCGGGTGCAGTGACTCGGGGACTCTGGGGGGTCAGAAAGCGCGTCTATGAAGACCAACCTCGGACCTTCACTGGTTTAGGGTTTAGGGTTTAGGGGTTTAGGGTTTAGGGTTTAGGGTTTAGGGTTTAGGGTTCTGCCACAAGTTCAACCCCGAAGGCTACTAGACTTACTAGGCCGTAAATTCCATATTCTACACTTCCCAACTCCTAAACCTAAACCCTAAACCCTAAACTCCAAACTCCTAAACCCTAAGCCAGAGGTCCAGAAGCCCAACCTCCTAAATCCTCGCTTCTAGATCCCGAGCAGCCGCGGTTCGCTTCCGGCACGCAACAAGAAAGAGACTCCGGGCGAGCGCGGCGGCAATTTGCAAAAACAAAGGAGGGGAGGCCGACTGAAAGGCCAAGTTGAGAGGTTTCTTGGGGGTTTCGGGGTGAGCCTGGGTGGGCTTAGGGTTTAGGGCTTAAGGTTCAGGGTTTAGGGCTTAGGGCTTAGGGCTTAGGGGGGGAGCCTGAGGAGTTGGGGCTTAGGGTGTTTACGGATGTCGGGAAATGGAGAGTAAGTAAACCCACCAGGCCCTGCCCAGACATCTTAGGAGGGCCCACTGAACCCTCCCGGAACGCTTAAAACAAGCCAAAAGCTCTGAAAACTGAGCCCGTTCGCTGAAGCCCTAGACCTTACGAGGGTGAGGGGATGCGGCCCTTAGCAGCCCCCCCTGCTTCCTCAGAAGCCATGGTCCAGACCGACCAAGCTGAACTGTGGGTTGTTCTCTTTCGGGTTGAAGAGTCTTTAGCCTTAGGGCTTAGGGTTCAGGGTTTAGGGGTTTAGGGTTTAGGGTTTAGGGTTTAGGGTTTAGGCTTGCTTCGGGGGCGCGAACTCAGGTTGTGGAGTGCAAGGGGGTTAGAGTCTCGAGCTGCATGGTCTTAGAGCTTTAGGCAGGTCTTGCTGCAGAAAGGGCGGGAACTTCGGGCTTACGGTAGGGTTGGGGCATCTGCAGAGGGTCTCCAGAATTGAGAACAACCCATGATTGCCAAGAGGCCAACATACTCAACCGAACTGCAGGCGAGGCGCGTCAGCACAGCCGGACTTGTACTAGGTCGGCTTTAGGGTTCGCACTTCGGCTTTATCACAAGGCTTGGGCAAAATACCTCTTTTGGGGGTCCGGAGCCCAGGTCCACCAATGATGGCATCTACCTGAAACCCCGAAGCCGCTACATCGCAACCCCAAACCCCAAAAGCCCCAACACCCCGCACTCGACGCCCTAAACCCTGAGGCCCTAAACCCTGAAGAGCCTACTAACTTGCGCGCTTCACCTCAGAACGGCGACTTCTCTTTCAGGTCGACCTTGGGGCAGTCGGCCAGGGGAGGGACAGCCTCGGGCCTAGGGCTTCGAGGAGGTTTCGGGTTTGAACTTTTTCGGCGTTCGTCGAGAACGCTTTGAAGCAAGGCAGATCCGTTGCGACACATTTCCCCAGTCAGTGTGGTGCGCTGGCTAAGTGCGGGATTGTAAGGAGCTTCCAGCAGGCGCACTGTACAGTAGTTGGGCAGCTCAGCTTGCAAAAGAATGACGCAAGCTGTACCCGCTTTTGCCCTTCGGCAGAGGACGGAAATTGATGTCGAGCCCTTTTTCGAGGGGCCCACGACACTGGGGCTGCATGCTATCTCGGGTGGAGCCTTTCAGCGAAGAGGGCCAAGCCGTGAACCCTCCACCCTGAACTCTACACCCCAAACCCTTGCCTGGAAGCCTAAGAACCGTTACATCTTCTAGGCACTAAACCCGAAACCATGAAAACCTGAACCCCTCCAACTGCAGACCCTCAGCCCTAAATCCTAAATCTAGGGTTTAGCGCTGAAGGTCGAAACTCTTCTGCAAGCCTGACAGAACCCTTGGAGAAACCCTCAAGAACCCCTAAAGAGCCATTAAACAGAGCCGTGAAATGCCGTGAAACAACAAACTCCGAACCTATCTTCGCCTCAGAGGTCCCCCCCAAGAGCTCCCGGCACTGTCGGGCGACAACCTCTGGAGAATGCCCATGAGCTCCTTCGCCCGGAGAATCAGAAGCTCTGCGCAGACCCTAAACCCTAAACCCTAGACCCGAAACCCTAAACCCTAAACCCTAGTTCATGCTCTAGGGTTTAGGCTTTGGGGTAGGGCCTGGGGCTTGAGGGTTTTCAGCTCCCAGACGGCTCAGCACTTTGGATGCTTGAAGTTTAGGGTTCACTACTGGAGGTCTCGAGTTTAGGTCCAGGCTCAAAAATGACAACAAAACTTTGGAGCTGCGGCCACTTAGCAACTTTGGAAGTGCAATACTTCGGGGACCGCGACATCCGAAATAACCCTAAGCCCCAAACCCTAAACCCTAAACCCTAAACCCTAAACCCTAAGCCCCAAAGACAAGAGCGCCGGCCAAAAAACCGCGAAACCCCAAAGCCTAAGCACTGGAGCTTCGAGGGCTTGGGGTCTTCCCGCTTCGGGCTTCATGGGACTTGGGAGTGGCGGGGCGAGCTCCATTCCTAAACCCTAAACCCTAAACCCTAAACCCTAAACCCTAAACCCTAAACCCTAATGAAGCCCTAAGCCAAACTGCTACAACGTGTCATGAATATGACGAATGCAAGGCTGGCACTACTTCTTGAACCCCCCAATGTCAGCGGCGTCCTAGGCACTGCGGCTGGGATGGCTTCGGATTTAGAATGCTGGTTTGTGGCGATTTAGGTTTTGGGGGTTTAGGACCTAAGGGTCTGTAGCGCCTAGGGCTTGAGATCATCTGCGGCTGCAGGGCTTGGTTCGTCGGATTGAAACCCTTTGGTCTGCTGAGGACCCGAAGCCTTCCTCCTGCTTGTCCCCCAAACGACTGGGGCCCCTTTGCCCAAAACCCCAACCCCTCAACGTCAAGTAAACCTAAACCCTAAAGTCCCTAAAGGAACCCTACTGTAAAGGCCCCGAACTTCCTAAGGCGCTAACCCTAAAACTCTAAACCCTAAACCCTAAACCCTCAGCCGTCCTAAACACCCCTGAACCCAAAACATCCCAGCAACCAGGAAGGCCCCTGAGCACCTCGAAGGAGATCCGGCTGGAGGGGGCCTCCGAAATGAAATGCCGGTGGGTTGGGGTTTAGGGTTTAGGGTTTCGGATTTAGGGTTTCGTTTAGGGGTTTAGGGTTTAGGGTTTAGGGTTTCGAGTTTAGGGGTTTAGGGTTTAGGGTTAAGGGTGGGCTTTTTGGAGAGTGCTGGTTCATTTGGGCCTCCCTGGCTTTGCCCGGGTTTTGGGGGTCTGGGGCTTGCCGAGATGAGAACGCGGTAAGGTCAGAAGAAAGCAGCTTCAAACACAGAGGTCCATATAGGGCTTGACAAGGGCGGTGGCGGCCGAGGCACTAGAATGAGCTTCAAGGGGATGTAGAAACGGTCAGACAGACTGTGCTTGGTTGGACAGAGTAGTGGTGATGCTTGAGGCTCCGACAGCGGGACTTAGGATATACGGATATACTGTTGCAACTACGACTACGACTGGTGGGGACTTAGACCTCCGTGAATGCTTGTGCAAGGGCTCACATGAAGCACGGTTCTGGGTTCCAGGGTTTGGAGAGTAGCGCGACTGCTTCTTTGCTTGGCACGAAGAGTCTTTACAACCTTTGCAGTGCAAGGTGGCCGGGTGTCTTGCTTGCAGGCACAGTTGGTCTCGAAATGGTTTCGTGTCAAGGGCCTAGAAGTTTCGAGTCACAAAGGAGCAGGGGCACAGGGAGTGCACGTTCCATTGGCTTTGAGGTCCCTGTCTGCCGACCATGCTCAAGAAATCTTTCGTACTCTTTCGCCAGCCTCGCACTCCGAACCCTCATAGATTCCCGATAGTCTTTCGAAAACCCCCGCTCCGAAACGAACGCAGAAACGGAGCACAAGCCACATCCCAACTTGCACAAAGCTCAAACACCTGAATTGCTACACCCGAAACCGGTCATCCCCAGAGCCCTCCGAAGCCTTGCAAAGCCCGAAAACCCCAAAACGCAATCACTAAACTGCAACTGTAACCCAAGCCCAGTCAAGCCAGAACCAGCCCCCATCCCCCGAATCAGACCCGAAAACACTGGAAGCAAGCCCTTATCATAAAAATCGTGCCTCTGGAGTATGTCTCGTTCCCGTATAGCACCTTAACCCTAAACCCTAAACCCTAGACCCTAAACCCTAAACCCTGAACCCTAAACCCTAAACCCCAAAAAAAGCCCCAAGCGGAGCCGGGAGGCCTGCTCCAAGAGGGGCAGCACCGCCTCCGGAGAAAGGCTCGGGAAGTTGACCCGAAAGCACCTGGGCAGGAGGTTGAGGGTTTGGGGTTTGGGGTTTAGGGTTTAGGGTTTAGGGTTTTAGGGTTTCGGGTTCAGGGTTTAGGTCAGCACGAAGAACCTGGGATCCCAAGGCCACAAACTCCAAAGTCGAAACAAGCTTCACCCTACATCCCCCAAGGCCCGAAGGCCCGAAAAGCCAGCGCCCCCAAAGCTGCTTCTTGGGGCATCTGGCCGGTAAAGGAACACAAAGACACAGCTCCCTTGTTTCAAAAACGAAAGCCCCTGCGACTGGGCGATGGACTCGTAGAGGTAGGAGCGCTCATCACCTCAGAAACGCTTGGGCTTTAGGGCTTCAGGTCGAGCATTTGGGGTTTCTGGATGTCAGCTTCTAGACTATCGGGCTGCAGGGGCTTGGGATTTTGGGTTTAAGGCCGTAGGGCTTAGGGTCTGACTTAGGAGTCCGGGTTTGGAGTAGCCCAGGAGCCCAAAGCGATCGAGGTCGGACGTTGAGCGCCAATTCAACTCTGGCGTCCCGAAGGGTGACCTACTCCGTTCAGGGACCATAATACTACGCATTCAAAACTCGATACTGCACGCAGGCCGTCACAGGCCTCACACGTTCCAGAAGCCTCAACCAGAACAACTATGAACCATGAGTCCAACCTCCAAAACAGCACCCAATGGCACCCAGGCTTTACCCTACGCCCCAACCCTACACCCCAAACCTCGAGCCGCTATCCCAGACCTACTTGAAGGATCATGGGACTTAGTAAGTAGGGTTATAATTAAGGTAACTATACTTCTAACCCCAATTAAGGGACTTATGACCTTACTTACTAAGTCCCATGATCCTCTAAATCCTAAACCCTAAACCCTAAACCCTAATCCCTAAACCCTAAACCCTAAACCCTAAACCCTAAACCTTGCTTACTGAGTCCCATGATCCTTCAAGTACGCCCCAGCAGTCTGATCCTGCGAGAAGGCCCCGGGCAGAGCTCCTTCTGCAGCGCCCGCCGGTCTGCCTCCCCTGGCCATTCGACGCTTTTCTGTCCGAGGGTTTAGGGTTTAGGGTTTAGGGTTAAGGGCTTAGGGCTTAGGGTTTAGGGTTTAGGGTTTAGGGTTTAGGGCGTCGATGATTGGGGCTGGGGCGTTGAACGAAGGGGTTCAGGGACTCAGCAGCTGAGGAGTTGAGGGCTTACGGTTGGCGGGGTTTAGGGTTTAGGGTTTAGGGTTTAGGGTTTAGGGTTTAGGGTTTAGGGTTTAGGGTTTAGGGTTGGCATGTAAGGTCTGGGACTACTCGCGCCGAATCAAACCAGGACCCAAGGAAACCCAAGTTCTCAGATCCCCAAAGGGAGCTCCCGCAGAGGAGCTTCAGCTCGCGACCTGCAACCTGCAACCCGGCTCCCCTCTTCGAGCCAACCCCAGAACAAGAAAAAAACTAACAAACGAAAGCCCAAAGCCCCGCTAAACCCTAAACCCCCCCCCCCCAGAACCCTGAAATCCCCAAGCCGAAAGGCTCGAAGCCCGTCTGTTCCTTCCGAAGGCCCCTCGCAGGCCCCTTTTCTTGGGGGGTTTTTGGGTAGAAGCCAAGATGGCAGACCTTAGAGCCTCCTATGGGCCACCATCACCGCTACCCCCCCTTCTTGGTGAAGCCTGTGCACTTGATGTCGAAGGTCGAGAAAGCGAACCAAAGAGCCGACTCCTCCCCGGAGTGCGCTCTCGGGGTCTACACGGCTTAGGCCCTAAACCCTAAACCCTAAACCCTAAACCCTCTTAGGGTTCATAGGGGCCCTGGGGCTCTCAGGGCTTCATGGTTGGGGCTCCAGAGGGCCTCAACACTGCAGGGGAAGCCACCCAGACCCAAACCACAAGAGAACCTAGAAACCCCAACAAAAACACCGCCTAGCTACTATGCTGTTTCGGGCCAGGGGTTACGTATTTCTGTCAGTTTTCACTTGTGGTTCCTGGCTGCAATGGGGTCAGAGTCCAATGCCCCGCTACCACATACCCTACGCCCCATGTTCCCGAGACGTCCGGGGGCAGAATCGCCTCACTTGCTAGCGGCACTGTCTTTTTTTCAATTTCTGACTGTGCCCCGAACCCGTGGTCGGAAACGTTGGACAAAGAAGCTAAGGCAGCAAACCCCCAACCACACCCTCAACAAAACGCAAACATAAGTTTTACCTGATCGCATCCACGAGTCCGAAGAGCGATGCATACCCAAGAGTCTTGCTGCCCCCTGCGCATCTGAAGAGCCCGAGCCCCCGAAACCCACCCTGAACCCGATGTCCCACGTACCACGCTGCACCGCGACGCTTTAGGACTCAGGGCTTTGGGGGGCTAGGATGTAGATTTAGGATCCAGGGTCTGGGGTCTATAGGGTTTAGGGTGCTGAAAAAACCGAAACCGCAAACAGCGGGGCTCGCCGGTCCTGCATGTTTTTCTGGAACTGGGCCTGGGAAGCGGTGCTTCCTTTTCCCCGGCTTGAAGGGATTTCAGGCCACAGACAAGGCCTGAACCCACCTGAGCCTAAACTCCCTACACCCCAAACCTCTAGAACCACGAAGGGCACCGGAGACCCGCGACTCCGAACCCTAAGACCCCTCCGAGCCCTAACCTTCGAACCCTAGACCTTAAACCTTTCAATAAGCCATCAACCCTACATGCTTGAAACTGATCCCCGACCCGGGACCTTCATCTCTGAAGGTCCCGGGTCGTCGTCCGAAACTCCGCCCCTTGAGCAATAATCCTAAAGCGCAGCAGGCCATCCCAGAAGGGCACCGAACGCAACACTCTACCCTGCGCCCCAAACCCTGTAGCCCCGTAAACCTACGCCCAAAAAAAACTCAACCCTGAACCCGAAGCAAGAACCTGCCCTGTGGCAAGGCCGCCACGACATCGGAGAGGAAGTCGGTGTAGCACACTGCTCCTTTTAGGGTTTAGGGTTTAGGGTTTAGGGTTTGGGGTTTAGGGTTTAGGGTTTAGGCTCCTCTTGGAGAAGCTCGAAAGATACTCGGGTCTAGGCCCGCAAGGATTCGCGACGAAGGTCTAGGACGAAGAAGGATTACCCATAGGCCCCCCTAGTAGTTCCTTTTCGTGGCTTGTACTTAGGATCCCACTAAGTAATCCCAAAAAGGAACGACGATGGGGGCCTATGATTCGGGATCGGCTCAGCCCGAGGCCTCGGGTCTCGGACATCTAACGCTAAGAAGAATCAAGGGACCCTTAAGGTCCTAGTCCCGAATCCAGTATAGGGGCCTTTGTGATTAGAACAGGGTGTATGGGGGTCTATTGTGCTAGAATTCTGGCAAGGACGGAAGCCCCAAAACCCTATTCAAATTACTAAGGCCCCGATTCTGGCCTAAGACTTCCTTTTAAAACGTCCCCTTTGTTGTGGGACAAAGCAGCCAAGCTCCCCGCCGGAAATGTCATCCATATCCTTCACGCCCACGCCACAGAACCTACGTTTCCCAGGGATAGGCATCGACATGCGCCTTAAGGGTAGGGCCTCAACGTTCCTGTGCTCGACTTGGAGGGTCCAGGCTTCATGTAGGGTTTAGGGTTTAGGGTTCAGGGCTCAGTTTAGTAAGGTTTTTTCAGAGAGTGTTGTTGGCTTGGTTTGGTTTGGTCTAGCCAGCGGTTCACGGTTTACTTTAGCTTGGTTTAGCTGCTTAACTTGGCTGGGGTCTGCGCACATGAAACTTTGAGGCGGTAGAGCCCACTTAGGGTTTAGAGTTTAGGGGTTTAGGGTTTAGGGTATAGGGTCTAGGGGCACCCATCATGTGGCAAGAACCCGAGACCCTGAGTGCAAGACCCTATACCCTCGAAGCCCGCCCTCAATCTTGAAACCCCCAAATCAGAAGCCCTGAAACCCCAAAACCCAAGACCGGAAGTCTTAGAAGACCAAATGAAGCCCTAAACCCTAAACCCTAAACCCTAAACCCTAAACCCTAAACCCTAAAACCCCAAACCGTCAATAAACAACTTCCGCAAGCCTGCAATCCCAAGACATGATCTCGGGAACCTTCAGGACTTCACAGGTTTAGGGTTTAGGGTTTAGGGTTTAGGGTCTATCCCGAACCGACATGGGGGGGGTTCCGAAAACTGGTAGTCTCACCAATGTGCAAGAGTCCCCATTGCACTGTACGAGGGACCCGATTCCACTTGTGATCCGTGCTTGAGATGCACTGCTGCTGGAAACCGAAAATTAGCTGAAATAAGCGAGGCGCCGCGCTGATTTCAGGGGACTCAAGCTTTGGGAATTCAGTTTGAGGACATTGCCATGGTTTGGGGATGCGTCCTCCCATTGTGGCGAGCACCCGAACCACTAAATATCCCCAAGCCTAAGACTCCAAAATAACTCCCTGAATCCGAAAAAGGCCCGAGACTCTGGATGCCTGAATCCTATACCTTATCCTAAATTCTACTACATTATATTTTCTCATACTATATTATGCTAGATTATGCTATATTATACTCTATTATACTATATTATGCTATATTAAACTATATTAAACTATATTATACCATATGAAACTCCAAATCCTCTGCCTCATCCCCTGGACCAGAACCGCGAAGGTGACCAGCCCACATCCTTGTGTCTTTTAGGACGAAGGCTCTGTTAATGTTGGTTTGGGGTTTAGGGTTTAGGGTTTAGGGTTTAGGGTTTAGGGTTCAGGTTGTTCGTCTGCTTTGGGTTTCTCCCCTTCTGCGACCGGCTTTTCCGTGTGCTGGGGGAGGGGGAGGAGGAGGGGAAGGATCCTAGGACGAGCCCGATCGTCAAAGACACATGCCTGACATCGTAAGCTGCAACCCTAATCCCCTGCACCTGGAGCCCAAAACCCAACACGAAGAGTAATTCTTGCGATGCAACTTCAAGCCCTGAGCCTCTCAACCCTCAAACGCTCGAGTCTAGCCCGCAAGCCCCAAACGACTCTCTCACATCCCCAACAGCGCCCGGTATAGGAAAATTTGGTGTCCCTAGAAACCCTTCAGGAACCCCAAACACTCACACGCCCCCCATACCTGGGACAACGGCTATCGGGATCCCGTTCTTCAAGGAACTTCTGTAGGATCGGCATGTGATTCTTGTGCACCTGACAGCGGGTCTCAAGAATCGCAAAACTCTCATCGTAGTCCCCATGTATTCATACGACAAAACTAGACTCCAAGAACCCTAAACCCTAAACCCTTCAAATTTCAAAGGCTCCTCGCGTCGAGCCTTCATGGCTTGGGGGGAAGCGAAGGGGGGTGCCGAAGGCTGAGAACGATGTGAAATCTGTGCTGTAAGGTTCTATAGGCCCTTAAGGGCTTCAGGGCTTTAGGATCTTAAACTTTAGGATCGTTGAGAAATCTGCTTTTAAGGTTGAATAGGCTCTAAGATCTTAACGGCTTCCAATGAACCTTTGGGATCTTGCTATGGCCTAAAACCGTAAGCCGTCAAATTCCGAAACCCCCAAACTCCACCAAACATACCCTTTTGGCCGTGGATTCTGGGGTCCGGTCTCCCGGATAACCAAGCACTTGCTTCGGAGGGTGGTGAGCATGTTGTGGTTGGGCGCTTTACCTCCGTTAAAAAGACCCTGGTCCTCCATTTAGGGTTTAGGGTTTAGGGTTTAGGGGTTTAGGGTTTAGGGCAGGCTCTGGGAGTTACTGTAAGCCTTGGTGATGTTGGCCTCAAATCCTCGATCCGTGGTGCCGGATCCGGAATGCAACCCTCCTGCTCATGTCGTCCACGAAGCTTCTACTCAGAGCCATGAACGCAGAGTCAAAAGCAAACAGGCTATCAACAACCCTACACCCCGCAAGCCCCTAAAGACTCCTAAACCCGAAACCCATTTGTAAGGTTTTTAGCGTCTGGCTGTCGTTACTGAAATAGAGATCATGGGGGTGTATGGTGCAAGGCCTCCCTCGCTGTTTTTTTCCGGTGAATCCGACACCTCAAGCCCGCAGCCCTCACCCCAAAGTCCAAAGCAAGAGAAACCCCCACCCCCTGTGCCCTGAAGCAAAAACCCCCGGAGCGTCAGTGGCTCGGACAGAGTGTGCCACCAGCATGACCGCGTCGCGCTCGGCGAGCTGGAACCTGGGAATATGGGGGGAAACTCGGGGGGTTTCAGGGCTTTTTAGACCCAAACCCACCGAAAACTAACCTGAAGCCTTTTTTTTGGGAAACAAACCCCGGAACGGTAAAGAATGCTGCACCCCCCAACCCTCTACTCCACACGACCCTCCATCGGTAGGACCTCTTAAATCAGCGCAAAGATGGAGACCCCCCCGCTTTGGTCTGTGACTCCTGTCTCTGAGGCCGCCACTCAGACATGCGCGACCTGGGGCTGGGGGGCCCCCTTTTTTGTGAGGCTGTGGGTACGAGGGCTTCGAGGTTTAGGGTTCGGGCTTTCTGTGGAATCCGAAAGTAAGGTTCATAGGGACCGGTAGGGCGTTTAGTGTCATGTGTCGTTGGTCCAAGTTCTAAACTGAGCAGGTGAGCCTCGTGTGTGCGTTTCTGTTATTGGGCAACCGCCCGGATGCATCTCACCATTCTGTCACATGATGCCTTCAGTGTTGTATTTTGAAAGTTGTATATTGATACCTTGCCCTAGAGCCACGTTTTGGGGCATGTTGTCACCATGGGCTCCAATATTCTGAGTCCTCCAGTGGTTCAAATCCATGGTCCCAGCTGGGAAAACAGGCATCACGTCTTGGAGGCAGAGTACTGGCCCTGAGGTTATTTTAAACAACTCGGTGCCTAAACTAAGGCTAAGGTCTTTTGCTATTTACTTTTTGACAACCTAAAAATATCCATGTTCACGGGCTGGCCATACATTATTTCTCCCAATGGTGTGTGTGTGTGTGTCAACCGCACGCATCTAACATGGCTGCGTAGCGCACAAATACTGGTGGTGGATCGTTGCATCGATCTTACATGCTCGAATCTAGCTAATGACCTTACCTGTCGCTCGACCACTGCGATTTTTTACACTTAAAAAACAAGCCTTTATCTGCCCACGACTATTGCAATCTTATTCTGTCGATGACAAACGATGGCATGTGGTAAAACTCGCGCAGGCTTCTGTGATTCTTTTCCGGCTGGCTCTGTGCAGTGCCGGCTTGCATTCCTTGGTCTCTGGAGTGGTAGCTTGCAAGTGCTTCGATGCATGCTGCACTTGCTTCACACTAGCGGCTTAGCGCCTTGGGGCCTAGTCAACCTCCTCAACGGTCGGGCCGCTGGCACCGCCGCCAGGGGCTCCGCCCATGCCGCCACCGGGCATGCCACCCTCGGGCATGCCACCGCCGCCGGCCGCCTGGTAGACCTTCATCATGATGGGGTTCACGATGCCCTCGAGCTCCTTCTGCTTGGCCTCGAACTCGTCCTTCTCAGCGAGCTGGTTCTTGTCCAACCAGTCCAGGGTCTCCTGGACGGCGCTTTCGATCTTCTCCTTGTCTCCGCCCTCGAACTTGTCCTTCAGCTTCTCCTCGTTCAAGGTGTTGCGCATGGTGAAGCAGTAGTTCTCAAGGCCGTTCTTCGCCTCGATCTTCAGCTTGTTGGCCTCGTCTTCGGCGCGGAACTTCTCCTTAGTTCTTGTGAGAACTCCAAGAGGCAAGCCTATCACGTCTAGCCAATCTAGTCATAAAGACTTGCACACAAGTCGCTGCTTCCTGCACCATGCGGTCGATCTCGGACTGCGACAGGCGCCCCTTCTCCTGAGTCAATGCGACTGCTTTGATCCACGATCTTACGTTGAAGCCCACCTTCCCTTGCCTGCTTGAGGGACCCAGGCATGTGAAATCTTATCCAAGATCAGGAAGTTCAAAACTGCACCCTGCAAGTGCAGTTCAAGATTCGTTGGTGATCGTAATCTGATTGGACTTGCCCGTGGACTTGTCCGAAGCGCTGACGTTCAGAATGCCGTTGGCATCGATGTCGTAGGTCACCTCAATCTGCGGCACACCACGCGGGGCCGGCGGAATGCCGTCCAGGTGGAACTTGCCGAGCAAGTTGTTGTCCTTCGTCATGGCACGCTCGCCCTCGAAGACCTGGATCAACACACCCGGCTGGTTGTCGGCATAGGTGGTGAAGGTCTGTGCCTGGAGGTCGCGCTGAACGCAGGCTCCGATCCGAAAAGAAATTTGGGTTGCCACATCGATGACGTTGCTGAGTCTCTTTCAGTATCTTAAAGTTAAAGGCATCGGTTAGTGCAGAAACAGGACGTGCACCGGAGAGTGATTCACTGCTATTGGCTCGCAGAAGAGCATTCAAGGAGGTGTGATGCATGTGCAGCGTCTTATATGGCATCAACAACCCCCAGCCCTGTTCCCGATGTCCTTCTTCGTCGGAATGGTTGTGTTTCGCTCGATGAGCTTGGTCATCACGCCACCCGCGGTCTCCAGACCCATGGACAGAGGCGTCACGTCCAGCAGCAGAAGGTCCTGCACCTGGGACGAGCCCTCACCCGTCAGAATAGCGGCCTGCACCGCGGCACCGTAGGCCACTGCCTCATCAGGGTTGATGGACCTGTTCGGCTCCTTGCCATTGAAGAACTCCTG